CAGCACTATGAAATACAATCTCCTATAATACCATTTGATAGCCGAAACATTTCTCTTCAAAACTACGCAAGGCCCAGGTCTTCATCTTCTTTGGTTCCGGAGATACAGGTGTTTTCCGAGGGCACATCTATCTCCTTCCCGACACGTCTGGAAATCTCAGAAACATGTGAATCATCGGTAATCGAGCACCCTGATTACCCTGGCAATTTTTGTTTCAATATGGAAACGAAAATAAGGTCGAAAAATAAAATATTTTGAAAATTCGCTTTTTAGCCTTTGACCGTGGTAGATTCTAAGTTTTATAATTCGGCCATTTTTAGTCCAAATTGATATATATTTGCCTTTCTATATGGTAACAAGGACTCCACGTGCAAGAAAAGAAAGAACTAGTGCTCTGTGTCGAGTTAGTTACTAGACATAACAACAAACTGTACTATTTTGACACAAATATTGTCGTTTTAAATCATTCGGATACTTTAACCGACAATAATTCCTTTCATCTGTTGAACCTAAACAATCAATTCCATCATTGCCGGATTGTTCATATAATAAACATGTTAAATTTTTATATTCAGGTTTTGCACAATAATGTTGATTGCGCTGGTTACATTTCTTCACATCCAATGCTTCCCATAAATAAGTACAATTTATTTCATCATAACTATTATCACAATTCCAAACTTGATCGCAAGTCGTGTACGATGTTCGACATGGTCAATATTGACAATTTGTTTCATCTGTTTCATTCAAAATGTCAATTGTTTGTTCAGTAAATCCGTTACAAACTTGATCAAATCTTGTCCGTTCGTTTTTCTCTCCAGTTAATGTTCGAAAATATTCACATTCAAACGAACCAGGAGTCTCACAATAAAATGCAAAGGTTTCATCCGATTTGTCCCAAAACAAATTTTTTTTTATTCTGAAAGCTTCTATTCCACTCTTAGCGAAAACGACAATAGGACAAAGGATCCTGTTGGTCTCGTGCCTCCTACTATCCTCTGACAAGTAAGAAAAGAATCTATAGACAGAATATATCAGTCACTATTAAAATCAGCTCAGTGTGATCTGCGAATTGTCTCTGCATTAAGTCGTGAAAAATGGCCATCATAGCTATGCCTTAATTTTTCAAGTACGCTAGTCATTTTAAGTTAAGTGTTTAATCTTATATCCTGTAAACATCGCCTGATACAGAATGGTATTAGGGGACATGACATTTTTCTCTCGCATTGTTACTTGTGATTCTTATGATCAAATGAAAAAACTCATTAGCAAAAATGAAACTTTTCGAAAAAAAGTATTTTCCCCTTAGAAATATTGCTAGAAATACAAAATTTTTTCTAAAAAGCCTATGATCTCTCCTATCATATTAGTTTTGATAAAAATCAAGTTTCTTTTCAACAATGATTGTTTGTCTTCAGATTCAACAAGTGCTTGTGTAACATCAACATGTACAAATTTATGTTGTATTACAGAAAGAGTTCATCTTAAAACTGAAATAGCTAGATTAACGACAAAACTAAAACACACACAAAATACATATATTTGTAAGCTGAGATTTTTGTTTTCATAGCGTGAGAAAGATTGAGTAACTTTGATTTGCCTTCATAGCGCCCCCACCAACAAAAGAAAGTTTCGAAAATAAAAAACTACATATTCTTGATCTGCTTGAACAACTCTATCGAATAGTATATAATAAATTCAAAAAAAAGATTTCACGATTTTGTTTTATAAATCTGTTTTGGGGGAGTACTTAATCGTAGGCGAAAAAGACCGTCCACAACCTGTCGGTTACTTATAGTAGAAAGGCATACAATAGCTTATTTTGTGCAGAATTTATTTCTCTTTATTTACAATACCGCTACTCGATGCAATTTTCCCTACTGTTTCGAATGGGATAGTTGCAAAAACTCAACATCTACTTAAATGGTAGAAATTTACTTTTTCAAAGTTTCACCTTTTCTGACTTACTTAAAATCAAAAAAAAGTGACTTGTGAGAAAGTTTCAACTTAACAGAAATCTGTTAACTAGAGAATTATTGAAAACATACGAAAAATAAAAGAGAGGTCTATAATTGTGCTACTTGGCGTTTCCAACGTATTCACTTTTCCTCGGTGTTGGCTGGCCTAGAAATAAAAGGGATTAGATGAACATGTAGGTTAGACACGTGGCTATTTATATCAGAAGGCTGTTTGAAAGTAGATTTAGTGATAAAAAAACTACATCAATTTTAGTGCAACTTATGTACAGAAGTCTATTAATTTGACATCTAGTAATAATAGTAAGGTGAGTACTATTGTGTTGTGTTATATTTTTTCGCATATGTACGGAAATTTGAGAGCACATGATCTCAAAAACACGAAAAATAAACTATTGTCTTTAAATTTACAGCTAAAACTGATAAAGGGGTGGACATATTAGAAGACCCGGGGTCTTCTATTCTGTCCTATCGATCACAAATTTTAGGGGGGTCTTCTATACGTAAAATTCAAATTCATCACTGTGTAATACGAACTGTAGCTCGTTCTGTCCGTTCATTCCGATAATATATAAAAACAAGAGAAATCAAAGAAAAAAGAACAGAAAGCAGAAGGAAGAAAAGCGGTAGAATATAATAAAAATGCTAGTTTCCATGTAAAAACGCTTTTCCGTTTCTTTCTCAAAATCTAAGAGTTGTCTAGGAAAAGGGACAGCACATTTAAAATCCTCGCTATGTAGCAAATGGAATCACTTTTCCTGGAAAATGCCTTTATTTTACTCTTTCATCAGAATAGGAAACCGAGTGAGTTCGACTAATTTATTGTTAAAAGGGTAAATATTCATTCAAATTTAAGTGAGCAAACAATATTTGATATTTCAAGACGAACATTGCCAAGACATTCTTCTCATACGACGACAAGACGATATTTTTCAACTGCAATCATTATGACTTGGTCCTCTAAGTGCATGTGTCCCTATAAGTTCTAAACAGAATTCGAACTAGCTAATGTCAGAAGGTGAAAATACATAGTTGATTGTAACTAATGTTCTTCATGTCATATAAATACGTAAACATCGCTGATACTTATAAAGTTGTATGATCACATATCAACATAGTAATTGATAATAAGTTAATAAAGTTTTCATTTTAAAAAGAACTGGAAATTGCAATCTTGTTTTTTTACTTTTTGAAGAAGTTAGTAACTACTACTTGGAGAAAACTTTAAGTCTTCTCTAGTTATTATATTTCTACTGAACTATATTTCGAACAATATTATAAAAATGAAACGTTGTGTAACAGCAGAATACAGAAATAGTCACGGAAAAGAGGAACACAGGAATAGCGATCGACCACTTGTTCTGTCTCATAAAGTTCCGTTACTGGGTTATATATTTCTGTAATCTGCTCTAAACAATATTAGTCTTTCTACATCGTGTCAAAAGTCACTATTAATTCTAGCTGTTGTAAACTTTATCGCAAAAAAAGAAAAATTATCTCTTGCAGAAAATCCAGTTATATTACTAGGAGATTGCCAATTCTACAGGATACAGCGATTTAATAACCAGAGGTGTAGAAAAGAATAAGAGCAGTCATACACTACATTCCGAAATTTTAGTTCTATCACTTAAGCGCTTCTATTCTTTGACTGTCAAAACTAAATAAAGAACAGATTGCATAAAATCCCATGATATATTTACTTCGAAGAAAAACATTAAAACCACGCTAAGGTGAGAACTAGTATTAGTTGATGTAAACGAACACCAGAATACACAACGCACGTAAAGCAACTTGACTTGTAGGATCTTCTTTGGAATATAAACTATTTGATCTATAACTTTTCGCTGTTGGGATGAGCCCTATCAATACTGTCTTTGTTGTTTTTCTCGTTAACGGCGCTTTGATTTCGGCTCAGCGAGACGACGTTGCTCAATGGATTTATCCAGACAAGGCTCCATGGGGTCGTCTCAAAAAAACTGTTTATTGTCAGCCAGATGCATATGCCGTTGGTTTTAAGCAACGTGTTGAGCAGCCAAGTGCGGGTGACGATACAGCACTGAATGCACTTGAATTAACGTGTAAAAAACGGGATGGAACCGGTTTACACAATATTCGTTCGGATAGTGGTGCATGGGGTACATGGAGTGATTATGTGTATTGTGCGAATGATTGGACTAACGACGATTTTCTGTATGGTGTATTTTTCAGAATTGAATCAAATCAACTTGCTGGTGATGATACGGCTGTCAACGATGCTAGGTTTATATGTTTACAAGGAAGTATAATTGGGGCGCCAAACGGCGGTCCATGGGGCGACTGGAAACCAATAACAAGGTGTCCGGAGTATACTGTTATCTGTGGATTTCGATTAATTTTTGAAGATGATAGTCAAGCAGCTGATGATACAGGAGCGAATGGAGCAGAATTTGCTTGTTGTCGTTTAAGTAAGCATGCATCTTCTCTTAGAACGTGCATTCGTCTATTTGCAGCACTTTTCCTTGCGAAAAACTATAAACCTGACCGACTTTTTCTCAAACAAAAAACAACGAAGGATATCGAGCATACTCTTAGAACTGCATTTGTAGGTGCACAGTGAGTGTTTATTTTACTGTTTAAGATCGATGCTCACCCAATCCTTGCAGTGACAATACACCTTGCGTTCAAACGCCCGGCGGTTATCAATGCAATTGTACAAATGGTAAACAAGGAACACATTGTGGTATGATAACTTCTTTGAAATAAAATGGTATCCAAAACTAGTTCTGTGTGGTTTTAGACTTGCCGTGCTTCAAAAATAAAAAATGTGAGAATGGAGGTATATGTAAAAATGGTGTTTGCGCTTGTACCAATGATTACGAGGTACCGAACTGCAATCTGACCATGTTGTTCTTGTAGCACCAGATTTTCTGTTTTCAGGGTGAAACATGCGAAGAAGAGATAAGTAAGCAATGTGACGGATAGAGCTGTCGCCCATATAGCTCAGTGGTCAGAGCTTAGACAACTCTAAATGTTTATTATCAGCTCAAAGCAACAGAAATACGGAAAAAATTAATTTAGGGCTTTTCTTGTAAATTCTATAACTTTGCAAAGAAGAGTCATGTAGAGCTGGGAGATATCTCACTTTAATCAGAAATGTGCGAGCTACAATCAGGTCTTATTAAGAAACGTTTGGATTATTTTTTAGAGTTTCTGAAAAACTGGTTTTCCAGAAAACCAGTCTCTGGAGACCTATAGGCAACTGCCATAGTCATATTCGGAATCAACGTGGTCGATTACCTATCACCCATTAGGTTTTGTCTCAAAAGCGATTGGACAGTTGGTGGTCTTCCCTCGTTAGAGCTTTGCTAAAAACTGTTAGCCACGAGGTTTCTCGAAAACCATCTTCAGTGAGATTACAGGCCACAGTGGGCTTTTCGAAAACTTTTTTGTCAACTTCGTATTAATGGCTCGCTTAATATTTTCTTTTCGAGTCTCATGCAGCGAAAAGTCTTGTAAAAATGGTGCTGTATGCTATCAGAACGGTATGCAGGCGTATTGCGATTGCCAAGAGACCGGTTACGAGGGAAAAGCATGCGGTATGTTGGGTCTCCTTCTTTACAATTCCATGCTATCTACAGTTATTTCTTTCAGAGAAACCTTGTTACAATGGAACAAACTGTAAGCATGGTGGTACCTGCAAAGATGGAAAGTGTCAATGCAAATTATCGCACTCGGTAATACTGGTCGCTATTGACCTGTTCTTGTATCTTTTAACTTATCTCTTTTCTCGAGGGACCTACTTGCGACGTTCGTGTCCGTAAGTACACTTGTTCTATGTTGCGAGATGATTCAAAATGCTTTTAGTTTCGTTTTCTTCTACAGCGCCGGACACAGTTGGTGTATGTATCCTTTGGGGTGATCCTCACCTGAAAGGTTTTCACCGATATACTAATGGACCAAGAATCCAATATTTGTGTACTGAATCCGGTACATTTTCTCTGCTCAATAACAAGCTGATTAATGCAACAATTACCATTGCCGATCAACATTGGTTTACTAGTGCAGTAAGTAAACTAGGTGACGTAATTAGAACCGAAAAGAACTTATGCTGAAATTCGTCTTTAGTATGACATCAAATTTCTTCAGGAGGGTAAAGTTTTATGCTCGATCAATAACAATAACAACACAAGCTGTAATGGACATCCTAGTGAGTTACCATAGATCTCCCCTTTAAACTCCATACTAAGGCGTTAATATGTAAACTTTACGTAGTTATTAAGGTCACATCTAACAGAAATTCCTTGACTGCTATATACACGGATACACAATTACGTGTTTCGATAAGCAGAATTCATAATGTAAGTTAACTTGACATGCTTTCACGCTTATCCTTAATTAGGCATATATCTATTTTTAGACATCAGTAACCTTCTATGATATTGATATTGACATTGGTTATAGTTACGAAATTGATCAATCCACCGGTCTGTGTATTCGCCCGTCTAAGGGATGTGAGTACGAACCAGGATCGCGTCGCCGAAAACGAAGTTTAGTACCACCAATACCACATTCACGCAGTTGGACAGTCGAGCAGCAGCAGATAAACGATATGGCTGAACAAATTTGCCAAGCTTATATAGACGAAGGAACACTGGCTGCATGGAATATGGGTCTTCCTGTTGATACTATGGAACAAAAATACGTCATTGAAGATATTCAATTAGCCTGTATTTTTGATACTCGAACGACTGGCATCAAAAATGTAAGAAGTGTTTGCTCCTGCTACTATGGTAATAACTTAGTTCTTAATTTTAGATCGGCTCAAATAGTATTCGTGTGCTACTGTCAGAAGGCAAGTATTTCTTACCACCGAAAAATGACAGCGAATATACCGCCTATGTCGAGCAAACTGCACAGATAGCAGAAGAAGCTTTGGTAGAAGCCGCAGCTCATATTGATTTAATCGTTCAGACGCTCACAACAACCATTCCAACTACAACGGGTACTAAATAAGAGCATGTTTTTTAGTTCTCTATTGAAACTCATATTCTAGGCCAACACTGTTCAACATGCTGTGATCCCTGTTCTGCTTCTTGTGAGTGTAGAAACTCAAAGATTTACTTCAAAAGGAGAAGATTTGTTTCTATTTCAGCGAATGCTGATTCGTTGACATCGGCAGAACTTACAGAGTTAGCGCATCCAGGTAGATTAAGTTTTGTTTTCCTCCCAGATTCCATTTCTTAATCTGTTTCAATTCCCAGTTCCATTCCCGAATCCATGCTTAACCGGTGAACAACAATACTCCGCTGCTCCAATATGGCTTGGCGGCAAAGCGACGTATTTGGAATGTAATCAGCAGAACAACCAGTTAATAGCCATTAGGCAGTGCATGGAAAACCAGATCTGGGTATCAGAGTTAAATCGTTGTCAAACATGTCAAGATAATACCGAACAACCTCGAAGCAGAACGATCCGTGCGTAACCGTTTTACCCGATATTTTGATTAGAATTTATTCCTCTATTCTAGATCCTATGTGTTCGGCACCAGTCGGATCTAGTTGTTGCAACAATTGCCCGTCATGTAAGAATAATTAGTCTCACTTTCTACCAAAAGACGATATTTTACGTATATCTTTAGTGAAAAACGTCCCTAGTCATGCGAACACAACGTTCAGAAGTAACAGAAAAGTTCCCTAAATCAGTACATAAAATTCTCACTAGTTCTTTATCACAGGTCCTACTTCATCTTTTACTTGTCCACCATCGTACGACGGTTTACTTGTCAACATCCTCAATCCATTCACATTCTGGAGTTGCTCGAATGGCATTGGAATGTTGATGCATTGCCCCAACGATCTCATATTTTCAGTCGAACTTCAACGTTGCGAATGGAACGGTAACGTTTATTCTATATTCTGATGAATCGGCTACAACGTTCTTTCCTTCTTTTTAGTCCCATTCTTCGATCCATGTGTCGGTGGCGATAAAACATATTCTCTACCTCTGTGGTTCGGTCCCTCAGCATACATCGAGTGCAATCAAGCTGCACAACAATTGGCAACGATCGATATCTGTTCTCAAAATCAAATTTGGTTGAAACGTTCGAAGCGTTGCGGAACATGTGAAGAAGCATTGCTCGATGGACTATCACCAAGTGTTGGGTAGGTTAAGCGAAGCTTTTGTCATAATTTGTATGAGTGAATAAAAGACATAGGCTAATCCCATTGGTATCGTACCAACAGTTATATTGATGTCGAAAATGCATATGCTAAGACTCATTTCATTCAAGGAAATGGTCTGGGAATATACCGTTTAAAAGTGTGAAATATCGGTATTGATGGGATCGAGAAAAGGACCGAAGCTTTTGGCTAAATAGGTCAGACGGCTCATTCCAAACTAGTAAAAAACCATTAAATTCAAATGCGTCTTTTCACCATCAAATGTAAGCCAAAAGTCTAAACCACCATGTCCATCGAATATCAGTCCTTCTGTTATTGATCTTACACATCACAGTTTCTCTTTTTGAATATAGTTTGATTCTCCGTATAGTGAAGTATGCCATCGAGAAAGAATTCATCGCTACATTGAGGGTTTCATAGACAAAGGTCGATTATCTCTATATATCTGTTGAAAACTCGTATCAAACTCTAGAAATTTTTACTCACACGTATGAGAGTGCTTTCCAGTTCACACGTTGAAGAAATACTTGTTTTTCTTCACCTCATTATGCTACAAATATTCACTTTAATAACATTTTTATTTTAAATATTGAACAAGCACACATTACGCATACAATTAAATTTTATGTTTTAAATGCCTGATATAAATTATGATAATACATTCTGCAGAACATGCATGAAGTCTTTGGATATTTTGATTGTTTATATACAGATCATGATGTTCAACCAGATGTTGGAAACATATCCAACAGCGACAGTGAGGATAGTCAATGTAGTGACGAATGGTGCTCGCGTCCAAACCAGATTTTTCGTCCGTGTGTCTACTAGAATGGAAGAAGATCCCTAGAGAGAGAGAGAGTTACTGCAAAGGACAGCTGAACATGCCATTTATCTGAGAAATGAGGAGTTAGTTTTGTCGAATGTATCATGACAGGCGAACCAGAAAGTCCATAGAACATGATTGGTTTGATCTAAGAGAAGAAAACGAGGAAGGATATGAGCTTTAACTAGCTCTTTGCTAAGAGAGCGAGAATCATTTTGAAAGTGAATATTGGTTCGGATCCGCTAGATTGAAGGATTTTCAAGTCAGACAAAAGATGCACAGAATTCAAACTTTGAGTGAAATTTATTTTTGACTTTTTCACACACCATTTGATAAAGAATTTGAAGAAGAAAGAAGAAAGGATTTAGAGCCCTATCTGTTCCGGACGCTGTGAGAAAACCATTTTTGACTCCGAAACCTTGAAACTTACTTTTCTAGATTCAGTTATTGACGCTGAATCCAAAAAGCTTTAGCGCGTTGAAAGCAAAACGCGAAAAGTTATAGCCATTTTTCTGAAATCTTACTTTTTTGAAGTTACGGACTCCTTTGGGATCTTCCCGATTTTTCTAGCGGTAAAATCTTTTTCAAGAAATCGAGTCCCTTATTTTCGTGATCAACGTCAAATTCTCTATCGAATGGTGTGTGAAAAAGTCAACAATAAATTTCACTCGAAGTTTGAATTCTGTGCATCTTAGCTAAACTCAGAAAAAGTTTTACATCGTAACAGCACCTCTATAACTAATATAAAAGCTGTTTTTAGCAGCAGGATCATTATTTTCGCTCCTCAGAACGTTTCGATCACGAGAATAAACTCATAGATGACGATCTTTAACAGTTGTTTTCTATCTAAACAGAATGCAAACTACTTCGCCATCTTGATGCATGTCGTTCAATATGATTTGAAGTTCCTAGAAGGTTATGGTGGTATTACCATCAACCTCCTTTGAAAAGAACGATCAACTCATGAAGAACGGAAAATACGCTTTACATTTCACGTAACCGCGAACTGTGAGTAAGAATCTAGAACGCGAAAAAGCAAACGTGTAAAAATACTTCGTTAACGTTAACAATACATTTTAAAGAAATTAAACTTCTTTTGCGAATCCCAATATTCCATTTGATTTCGTTTCAGCTGCTGATACTCAAACCCGCTCTTAAAACAAATGTTCGTTGTTCACTTTTTTCTCTCTTTGTTGGAAACAGATTTAAATGCATGCATTTTTAAATGTTTTCCAGTTTCCCAGTTTGCGATCATTCTAGTAAACTGTTTAAAACAAGATCATGAAATTGGCTCTCGTAAAGTGAAGAAAAAGTGACGAAACTCTACCACGTAACAGAGCCACAATTGCACTTTTGGAAAAGGTCGCTAATAAAGTTACGTTGAGCTTCTTCCGGCACATTTTTGCAAAGTTATTTCGATCAAATCTTCTCTCTTGGCGCGAAATGATGGTCATTCAAAGGAAAAGTATAAAATACTGCTGTTTTGCCCAGAACAAGATCATGATAGTCTCGTAGTGTGATTAAGTGCAAAAACAGCAACGGTTTCTCGAATTGAAACATCGGTTACTTCAAGACAGGCTAACTTAAGGGCAGAAATATGGTATTTTTTAACCAAATCCACACATACTCTGAATGTACCTACGACTTTCTCAAAAATAGTCCTACCTAAAAACTGTTTTTCAAAGTAACTTCATCTTCATTTTGAATTTACATCGATTCGGTAAGCTTTCAAGACCATGGACTGGTCTGTACTCGAAAAAAATTTTGGATTCAGTTGAAACGAGGAAAAACAGGTCGTTTTTATATCGGACTGAACCGGACTACTTTTTTAAAGTCCATGGACTGAAAAAACTGTTTTTCATGGACTCGGACTAGACTAGACTAAGATTTTGGAGCCCATACGGAGCTCTGATAGGTTGTATCGTTAGTAGCGGATACAATCTGTACACATGGAGATTGATTCTTCTATCCAAGTGCAAATAGTAATCTTCATCTGCTCCTTTAGTGGCCATTTTTGAAGAACATTGCCACCAAAATTCTCACTATACCAGATACTTCACACGTTTGTCATAGATCTAGACCATGTTGTCCCTATGCATGCGCTACAAGTTCTGGATGTGAACAACTAGCTTTATTAAAACTTCTATGCACACTGATGTTGATCGCTACAAGGGATCACATTGCACGTGCAGTACCTCAATATTGTTTACCCGATCACTGTGTCTGATAGTCTAAATCAAGGCTTACCTAACTGCAGTATCGGCATCGATAGAACTTCACCATTCAAAAGTCGCTCGTTAAAGGCTTAAAGTGGGTCCTCCACCCGGTTTTCTTCACCAGTTTGTAGAGGATCCTTTGGAGTATATGTCTCAACAAAGCTTTAGGTTCGCGGATTTGTAGGTTTTAACAAAAAATATTTTGAAGTCTTTTTGGGTTTTCTACCATATTTTTAAAATTTCAATAAAAGCTTCAGTTTTTGATATGAAGAGTTGATTCTAGCGTAGTTCCATAGAAAACATTAACTTGTATAAGGACAAAAGCTTTTCATCATTCTATAATGAAGTTTGCCGCAGAAATTTAACTTTCACCTTTCTGGGGAGATTTTACAGCTAAACGGCTGGTCCAGCTAACGGCCTCCATTTTTCGCTCTTTTTCAAAAAGTTATTGCAATAAAGCTACAAACTAATCTAAAATAGCAACATGATTAAGTAGATTAAACATTTCTCTACGAAATGAAAGGTGTCTCGGCGCTGAACGTGGATTCATTATGAAAATACCGCTTTTGTACAAACAGCCTAAAAAATCGATTTTGGGACTATCTGAAAAGCGTGTCTAAAAGAGTAAAGGTGAGCTGGCAAACAATTAAACAAGTATACCACTTTGTAGAAAACTGTTCGCTCTACAAGATGTGATAGCTTGTCAGATTTGAAACTATTCCAATTAATCTGTATTAATCAAAGTAAAACCGAGACGAATTATCTTTAAGATTAACCAAAAATGTCTATTATGATCTGATGAAAACAAAGTAAGTTCACGTATTGTCCACTTTGTCATCGATATTTACTAATACAACAAAAAAACAACAACAAATAAGCATGAATTACTTTGCTTGAAATGTAAATTCTGGTTTGTATCTTTGGGGCTGGGATTATTATATCCACTCTTAAGTAGAACTTTGACAAAAACTAAGTTCTTTTCTTTTTAATCGACAAAAATTCCTCTAGTAGATTCTGTGAGCCAGACTTAAGGCGTCGGTAATTCAAAAATGAGCAGTTTTTTTTCCACGATATTTATACATAGATGGATAGAACTTGTCGAGCTGAGTAAGAAAACGTTGATTTCCGAATTTTAGGAAAAATTTCTGAAGGTGAAAAATAGAACATAGAGATTAGCCATAAGTCGTGAAAAATCTCTATATATTCACAAATTTTCGAACTTTCACCTTTTCCGTTTCTTCTAAAACTTTCAAAAAGGTTTTTCTGATTCAGCACGAAAAACCGACTATAATAACATCGGTTTGAGCCTGTTCAAATACAACGTGGGACCCTTATTAGCCTGCCATCGAACATTTAAATCGCTCGTTTGAAAGATACTGAGAAGTTTCACTAAATTAAACCTTCTGACTTCATTTGGTTTAACTT